TGATAGGAGAACAATCACGAGATGGCTAGTCATGATTGTAGACAATAATGAAAGTGGAAGGAATAAGTAGTTGGCGATAAGAGGGACGTTCGTGAAATGTTTTTGTGGATGGTGAACTCAAACGAGGTGCTCAGGTTTGGTTAGCAATGAGCAATGAGTAATTGCGATTGAAATCGTCAACAAAATGGTTTCGAGATGAATTGATAAGCATTCCTTGTCGAAAACATGAGCAATTAAACGTTATCATTGATACGAGTGATCGAGCATTCTCACAATTTCACGGCAATGTTTTCATAACTTCTATCGCTGCTAATTCAGTGCTTCATATTTGATAAGCCCTTTAGCGTCAAACAACCGCCGTTTCGCATTAAAGTAAGTGAATTGCAGCCACACACACAAACAATCCAAACATTCCCCGATTATATCACTTCAGCACTTATTCTTAAAGATTCTGTGAACATTAAGGGAGCAAAGTCTTGTAGAATATATCTACTGCAGATGACAAAAAATTATTTGCTTCTGCAGAAATCACTCACCTGAATCTTCTTCCCAAAGTTTCACGCGTACATTACGAGCTGGTGCTGAACCACAAAGAAGCTTGCCACGGACGCCTACAGACTGATGGCGTACGGCCGTACAAAAGGCGACCAGCGTCAAAAGCAACAGAACCAATCGAGACCACATCTCAGCTACAATGACAATAAGCAACAAATGAAAGACACTTTCCAAGTGATTTTATCATGGCAGCAAAATGTTGATTGAGGGCACTGTCCAGACAAAGTTTTTATTTTTTTGCGTTAATTTTATGACAAGCAAATAAGTTCTGAAGTGATATCGTATCATATCACAATAGTTTCAGTGCTTCCTTTCATTTTTCAGTGTGTATTCATTTATCAATATGAAATGTGCCCAATAAATTGCTTGCTTATCTTTGGGTATGTGAAAAATAACGAAGATACACATGAAGTGTTTCAGTAGAAAAATTCATCGCTCAACAACGTTTATTGCCGTGTTGACTATTTTGCTCTGATTAAGCGACGATTAACGACTGTCCGCTTATTTGTTTGCTTATACGCAAATGATTGGAAAGTGGTATATCAACGGATGGTGCCGTAGAAGTTTAGTTCGTAATGGAAGTAAGACAAACAACACTGATAATGGACGGTACTGGTATCGTTTTGCAGTCGTCGAATGCAACTTTCATTGAAATGGAAATGAATCGCAAACAAATTTTGAAAATTACTTTTTCATGCGCACGTAACTCCAATGATTTTCGATTCTTTCTGCGCAATAAACGCTCAACATAAGAATGGCATTCAACCGACACCGTTTCTTGTGTATTTGCTCACGTGATATACGTGCCACTTATTCGACAGATTGGGACATTATAAGAATTTTGATGCGTAAGCTTCCAAGAATGCTACGTGCAATTCAGCACAATCGTTTGCAAATGATGATTAGTTAACCTTAATACGTGACAAAGTAGCCTAGAATTCCGTATAAAGCATCATTGGAAAGCCAGAATGATCATTTCTTCAAAACCTAATCTGAAGCGGTTCATCAGCTTTCTATAGCCTCGAATAACAATTCTTATCAAAAATCTCGAAGTTCGGGAAATAAATCCATCATCTCTCATTCTCCACCACTTTTCCTGAGCAAATATGTCCCCATCGTTAGCAGCTTGGATGTTCAGTGATCCGTCGTTGATCTTCCGCTTAGCTGGTCTATCCGGAGCGATGGCCGTCGGTCTCGGAGCGTACGGAGCACACGGATTACGCTCACGTAAGGAAGTTGACGCTAAACGTTTGCATTCGTACGATCAAGGAAGTCGCTACCATCTGATACATTCGCTGGCCCTACTTGCCGCTCTACACTCACGATTCCCGCTGCTCACAACGGCATTATTACTGCTTGGAATTGTTGTATTCTGCGGCAGCTGCTACTATTACGGGCTGACCGGTGATCGAAGTTTCATCAAATCAACACCGTTTGGTGGTGTGACACTGGTTGTTGCATGGCTAACGTTTGTACTTTGAATTACCATCAGCAACCGAACAACATCAGCATGCCGATGCCAGAAATGTGATCGAATCTTATGTAAAATCGTCGACTTGTTTCCGTCGATCGCAAATCCGTTTTTGAAAGCTGTCCGAATTTGATGTCATTTGAACATTGCATGCGACTTTATTTGTTCAGACATTCTAGTTCAGGCACTGTCATTTTTAATAATATGCTCATGTGATTATTTGAGCTTCGTTTCGGTGTTTCTGTTGTTCATTTCTTCTTATCGAGCTAATTTTTCACTAGAAACATTCCACTGAGCAAAATTTATTTGAATTTTTTGCTGTATCCTTTGTGCATGAGAATAAGCATGTATTGTTTGATGACTCTGTTCCAATGAGTTTGTTTTCACACTAAAGTGTGAATGAAGTTTTCCAGTTCAATTCAGCACAGAAACAATAATCTTAGTGCTGCTCATGTGTTTTCCGTCTTTGATTACACCATTTAAAGCAATATATTTCAAGTTTTTGTTTGCCGAAAAAAACTACTCCAATGAACTAGATAGCTCTTACGAAAACGTCGTGAAAGTTCATCCAGCTGGCTCGCTAATATTCATCGGAATTTTTTTTAACGCTGTCTAATTAGTATGTGGAAATTTTGATATAGTATTTTGTCTATATGTATACCATTCTGTCACATCAAAAATATCATGTGATTAAAACCAATCATGCAAATTGTTCATATCTCTACTGTACCACTGAAAATGGAATGCGGCTAAATTACGAACAGAAGTGAGAATTGTTTATTTTTATAAAGAAATTATGAATTGTTGCTAAATAAACTGATCTAATATGACGATCGACATTTGCAGTGATAATTGGATGATAACAGATCAATTCAAAAATCACAGCAATATGTACTTTGAAGGCATTATAACGAGCAGATTCACGCCTCTAAAAGAGGTCTCGTTCTTCTCCGGGGAAGATCGTTTCCAGATTAAGCACACCTAAATCCATTATCTTTTTCGAATGACTGCCAGAGGATATGTATTGCGATGGAATCTTCAGTTTGATTTTGCGTTTACCAGGCTGCAATAAATACAACAATTCATTCCGGAGAGCATCAATCAGCTGAGCTCATAGCTCATAGTCATGCTGTAAATTGAGTTGGTAAATCCGAAAAAGATTTTGCAATTGCGGGCTCCTTTCCGAGCCAAACAGTTGCAGATGAATGGTTTGAATTTCAAGTATTCTGCTGCACATGTCGTCAGATGTGACTTTCAAGAGCCTCGTACTTACTTTGATTCCGTCATCGCAATCGTGATAAATCTTAAAGATCGGATCGATTGACGTCAGTTCGCGGGTGCTTCCTTCCAGCTCAAAATGACCGGTGCTGTCCGTTGTGCCCTCGTCTAGAACATCGTCTGGATCGGGACCTGAAATATCACTAGTATGATCCGGATCTCACGATTTTGCTCAAAACACCAGTAGCTGAGCTATAAAATCATTCAGATTGAACGACATTCTTATTGCTTCCTTTATCGGGCTGAACAAAATGTTCGCATACGAATTCCTTAACTCACCTTCATCCTCATCCCAGAGTTTCACCTTCACGTTTCTAGCCGGTTGATTGCCACACATCAGTTGCCCTTTGACGTGAACGGCCTGCTGTCTCATCGCCAAACACACGCTCAAGCACACACATAGCAGAAGAAATATCGCCTGCTTCATCTGAACACAAGATTTCAGCAAATAAGTGACGACTGAATGAAATGTAAGTAAAATTCCATTAAACGAACAATTTACAAAGTGATCAATCAAACAACGCACATATTCGCATGCAAATTGAACTATGAAAAGGCGAATTATTATCTTTAAAAAACTTTAGTTATATAAAAGACATATACATTTATACATAACAGTTCACTGGATCCTTTTCATTTGTGAAAAATGAAGCGGAAACAAATGCAAGTAGCAACAGAAGTTTGGAAGAGGATGTTTTAAGAAACTGATTTTGCAAAAATTCGGAATGAACGCTATCGATGATCTGATTCTAATTCCATCGTTGATGAATAGTGCTACGATCAAATTACGTTGGAACAAGCGATCAATTCTCTTCATTCTTGCTTCGGAGCATAAAGAAAGGAAGGAAAAAACCTCAAATGATTTCACTTCATTCTAAGGTTCAACAAGGAGCATGAGAGAGTGAGGTGTTCTTTCGGCGGAACTAAATTACTACAAGTGAAAGCTGAATGAAAGCGCGTACATTTTGACGCCTCATTCGATCACGACTGTTTACGAAAAATAACAATATTTTGTTGATGTGTTCGGAGCAGCGATAAGATTCTGTTCAGCACATAACATTTATGACTCTCACATGAATAAGATAAAGCATTCAATGTTCAAAACAACACGTTATTAAACTGATATTTTATCAGGTGTGTTTCCAATCGTGAACGATACACACACTCCAACACATACTATATGCATCAGCATCACACGCCAATATCTTTTCAATGTCATTCAATTGGGGAAATTTTTACAAGACCATAAATTCGCGTTTTCACCATGAATAAAGTTATGCATTCACACACGTTAACATACTGAAATGTATTTACACACGTTCAAATAATTTTCCGATGAAATGATTTTACCGCATAAAACACATTTTTCTCGTATTATACATAGTTGTTTTTACGCCTTCAAGATCTGATCCACTAAACCAGTGAAACAAGATTGGCATATGTGTATTCGGATGAAAGCAGTTGCTATCTGGATAAGATCTGTTCGGTTTACACTGTCGATCATTTCCCGAAATAGAATATCCTGTTAAATTGTTCATTAGGGCGTTGAACTACATTCAGAACCTCAGTTTAACTGGTAGGAGAGAAACATCTTCGATGTAGCCTTATATCCATTAATTTGAAGGATGAGTATATTACTGCTGAATGGTGATGACACGAAAGTAGGAATCTGTGGCAGTGGATATGATATGGATGATTACTGCCTAATTGCTTTATGCACCTGCTGGAATAATTTTTAATTTGAATTGAAAGTAAGTCATCGAGAATTATAGTTTTAATGGTGTATTTTGACAAATATTCGACCTGTTTAAGTGAAGGAATTTTCCATAAACTCAAAGCAAAGAATGAAATATTGCAATGATCAAAAAGTGTTCAGTAACGGGTAAACGTAATACATCAAACAGTGATTGTCTCTTTATTCGGCTACTACAGATACTGGCTGTTGCATGCTGCATCCGCTAAATTGCATCCCATGAAAAGGATTAACGTGTGTGAATATGAATCGGAGATTTGAATGCTTATAAGTGCCTATCTTGAATGTTTTGGATGTTTATGGATGTTTACCTTCGAATGAAC